GACTGGGGGAAACTGTGCGACGTGAGTCACATCCCTGACTTGTTATCTCTCTGTTCTTTTAGCTCTTTGTAACTCTCTGTGTGTGGCAGCCACTTATGGCGGGGCAGGACGGTGGCGGACGTTGTAACATAGCGCAACCTAAAACTCAGCCATGGGATAGAGCTGTCAAATTTGATTAAACATCATGGCTCCCTGACACCTCTTACCTACGTTCAAAAGTGGCATTGCCTAAATTTTCAAATTGCCATTAAAAAAAGAGCTGAAAGAAATGTATCAGAATAAAGAGTCTTCAGTGGGACATGACTGGACCTTACAGGCATGGCAGTGCAGATGCGATACAGGAATGAAGACCTGGGTAAGAGCACATAGCAAACTTACTCAGAAAAGTAATCCATGAATTGCTGAGGATTTTCAGAAGCCAGCAGCAATTGCCTCTGGTGGGACTCAGACATGCAATGACATTTGAAGCCATTCTATAAAATAAAAATAAATACTTTGTCCTTATCTCAATTTGCAGCACTTGCACAGCTAAAGAGTATTGAAAATAATGTTTTATAAGTGAAACCTCTCGGAGATCCCCCAGAAAACACCTTAACTCAGCCATAGTCTACACGAGGTGGTTGTTCCTCCTGACTGGGTAAGCCAGAAACTAAATTCTTCCTGAGGCCAAGAGCCTTAAGACAAACTGTTACGAAACAGGACATTCCAGCAGTCCTCTTCATCCCTTGTGGAATGGGATGGGATAGATGTGGCACCACCCATGTCCACCTAGGACCCATCCAGGTGCTTGTGCGAGAGCACTGAAAATGTTTGCTGGTTCCCTACCTGACCAACATCAACACCAAACGAGTCTAACGAGGAGATGGGAGCGCTCAAGCTACAGACTGTGATAGTTTGTCCATCTCTGGCACACAGGTGAAATCATAAGACATCCTCAAAAAACACCCAGAGTTAGGATGTTTGACCACAACTTTTTTTGTGTAATATAATGCACTTTCATCACAATATGATTAAATCCACAGCAAATTTCATGCCATGAGAGGCCTACCCTCTCCTTACAAAAAGACCGGGTTGTAAAGCAGTGCAGTTTTTTTGCTTCAATTCAACATCCACAGGATGCTTTACTTCTTTTCTCTAAGGCACATTAAAGAGGCTATTCGAGGAGAATGGAAAACTAAACACACAGTTAGTCCGAGTGGAGGTACTTTTGGAGCATAGCTCTGGTGGAAATCAGGAAGAGGACACAGGCATCTGGGTCCAAATGAACAGACAAATTAAAAGAAGAGGGGGAAGCTTCAGAGGAAAAAACATCTCTTCATAACAGGCGAAAAACCGAAGAAACTGAGCCAGAATCAGAAGGAAGGAGTCCTCAGTACAAGAAAGACACGGACCTGGCAGACCGGGTCCACAGGAGGGCCATGAAAATGTTCAGAGGAATGGAGCACCTCTGCTGTGAGGAAATGCTGAGCTGGGGTTGTTCAGCCTGGAGAAAAGAAGGTTTCAGGGAAACCTTATTGCAACTTCCCAGTACTTAAAGGCAGCTTATAAGAAAGACAGGGACAGACTTTTTAGTAGGGCCTGCTGCAATAGGACAAGGAATAATGGTTTTAAACTAAAAGAAGGTAGATTCAGACTAGCTATAAGGAAGTCATTTTTAACAGTGAGGGTGGTGAAACACTGGAGCAGGTTGCCAAGAGAGGCTGTAGATGTCCCATCCCTGGAAGCATTCAACGTCAGGTTGGATGGGGCTCTGAGCAACCTGATCTAGTTGAAGAAGTCCCTGCTCATGGCAGGGGGATTTGGACTAGATGACCTTTAAAGGTCCCTTCCAACCCAAACCATCCTGTGTTTATCTGAGCCTTTGAAAAGAGACCTCACAGTGCTCCAGACCTGCGTTCCCATAGGCACATTGCCACACTCACCTTGTTGCCAAGGGAAATCATGGCTACCCTCAACAACTCTCTAAGGCAAATGGGAGACACCTAATCCTTAACTCCACCAACCTCTCAAGGTCTGAATGAAGAAATTACCCCTCAGGGGGATTTGGGGCAACTCAAATTTTGGGGCAACCCTCTCACCCTGGGCTGATCAGTCACTCTGCAGGGGATTGAATGTCCCTGAAGATGGATCAGGGCCAACACTCTCCCCTAAGGAGAATCAGGGCTCCCCATGCTCCCAGCAAGTGAGGCGAGGATGCTCCCTAGAAGGATTGCATCACCTACAGATGTGATCAAAGTCCCCACAAGGAGACTGGGAGAACTTACAGGGGGAATCCGAGTCAGTCCTGTACCACCTGCAAGGGAACTGCGGAACCCACAAGAAGGTTATGAGTTCCCATATCCGCTAAGGGAATCGCAGCGCCCACAAGAGGATTAGAGACCCCTACAAGGGCGATCATAGCCCCGCCGTGTCCCCCTCAATGGAGATCGGACCTCAAGGGAGATGGGAGCACCCACACCGGGACTGAAGACCCCAACCGCGGGGATCTGACCCGCACTGTGCATCTCCAAGAGAACCACTCCCCTCAAGGGGACTGGGGTACCCTATAACGGCGACGGAGCCGCCCGTGTCCCCTCACAGAAGATCACCAGCCCCCACAAGAGATCGGGGCCCACCGCGCGGGCCCGGCCCCCGCCGGGGCGAGCTTACCTCATCGCGGCACTGCTTCTGGCACATCTGGCAGTACCAACGCAGCTTCTGCAGCCCCTTGGACTTGATGCGGTTGGCGATAGCCTTGGGGCTGAGGAAATCCGACTTCCCCATGGTGGCGCCGCGACCCCTCCGCCACCCCCGTCCCGCTTCCTACCCAGCGCCCCGGAAATGCTTCCCGCCCCCCCCGCCAGAAGCGGCTGCGCGCATGCGCGTTGCGGGCGCGCTGACCTTCAGCGGGGCTGAGGTGGAGGCGCCGCCATGTTCGCCCGGGGCGCAGTCGTCGCGCTTTACCCGCCGCAATGGTAACGGGCAGGGCTGCGGATCGGGAGGACGGGTCCTGTGGGGATGGGGGGATACGTCTTGCTGGTGGGGGGAAGCGGCCCCGCAGGGCTGCCGTGGAGGCTGAGGGGGCGATGCTCCCCCGACCGGTGCGAGGCCCGGGAACTTGGCTCGGTCCTTTAGGTGCTGTGGGGTTTGGTGTGGCTGGAGGAGCAGTGACCGTGAGGCTGAGGGAAAGCGGCCTCCTGGGGCAGGGTGGTGACCTGGCCGGGAATGGAGGCTCCTTCCTCTCAACCGTGGCTCGGGAGGCGAGGGGTGAGGGCGAACAGTGGATAATGTATTAAATGACATAGGAGATGTGAGGAAAAATGGAAGATATGGACACAAGACATGGTTTAGAGTGGCTTGGCCCTGCCACCGAGGCTTTTTAAGAAACAGCAACTCTTAAATTTCTATATCTTTGAAAGGGACCTGCCCTTGAAAGGTGTTGGTATGCTGGAGAACTGGTGAGCTACCCTAATTTCTCCTGCATTCATTTTTAGGGGCCAAGTCAGGAATATGGCAACTCTAAAAGACAGTAAGTACTTCTTCGTTTGCTTTTGAGAAAGAGAAAGTGTCACAGGAAAATAATAGGTTAAAATGCAATTGTGGTTAGCCTCTGTTGGATAAACTGATTGCGATATATCATAACACTGCTACCTATAGGAACCTCCACCACTTCTTATATTAAGCAAGTGTCTTTCAGAAAAGGCATTACTTAAGATGGTATAAGCACTAATTTAAATGTCATTTCAGCAAACTAATCTAGTTTTACCCAAACATTTAAAAGTAACTTTATCATATGTGCTAAGCTACTTTTTTTTGCTCACCTTTAAGAATTAAATTTTTTTTTGTTATGTTTATTTCTCCAATACTGGGGAAGAAAAGGGTGACTGAATGCTTCTGGTTTGATGATGCTTCTTTAAGCTGTTCCTTATAGGTTCTTATACAGGGATATTGCCTTGGAATTGCACGTGTCTATAGGACACCTGTTTTATTTTTTAGTTGGTTGTTTGGGTTTTTTTGCATCAGTATTTTTATGAATCTCATCTAAATGGAGGAAGAAGTTTATTCTGTCTCTTTATAGTATGGGGTCTTCTTCTTTTCCTCCCCTTGTTACCTAAAAAAGATGACAATACCCTTCAAGTGATACATTTGTGAAGTAGGTAGAAGTGGAAGAAAAGAGAACAGTGAATAGATCTTACGTTGGGATAAATATTAAATACATGTTATGTCTGGGGAGAAAAAAACATACGTATTGTAAAGATGCATTTGAGTTAGCCAGATTACTACTCTTACTACTTTCTTACTGTAAATACTAAGATCTTTTATGAAGTTTGTTTATGCATTGTTTGTTTAATGTTTTCTTCTTTGAGGAACTTGGCAAGATATTTTGGGGTGTCTGTTACTAGCATTCTGTTGCTTGGTTTTGATGTCATTATGCCCGGTACAGCCCATGACCTTCAACTATTAACCTTGTAGTTACCAGGCGTTTGAAGTCCATCAAGAATATCCAGAAAATTACAAAGTCCATGAAGATGGTTTCTGCAGCAAAATATGCAAGAGCTGAGAGGGATCTGAAGCCTGCCAGAATCTATGGAACAGGAGCACTGGGTGAGAGGAGGCTCTTGCACTGTGGGATGGGAACAAGAGGAAGACTTTCATGGTTGTGATAAAAAGCCTAGACTTTTTTAAAACTTTTGGTTGTTATTTTTTCCAAAAGAATCTGCGTCCTCAAGCCACCTTGAATATTCCTTATAAGTTGTTCATGGAAAGCGATTTTTAAGAGTTCTAATGTGAAAGTCATTATGATTTCTAATAAATTTTTTTCAATTCATGTGGTTGGTTTTGTTAGTTGTAAAAGCATGATAACTCAGAGGTTTTGGCCTCTCTGTTAATGGAATTGTGTCCTATCTCTGCAGCATCTACAGCTGCTGCCAGAGCTCCTTGTGATCTCTTGGGCTATGTGTGCCCCTGAGGTGCTGGACTTGCACAGTGGACTTAACTAAGTAGTAACACTGATTGCGTGATACCCGATCGCAGATATGGCTGGCTTTGAATTGTTTCTTTGTCACCTCTGGTCAGATCACATGCAGACTGTATATTGTGAAGGAGATAGGTCATCTGGCTGAGATTTGGAGCCCTTTTAGAAGTTATTTTAGTTGAATAAGTCAGAGGTATTTTGATATGACTTACTTGCTTCCTAGCACACTTGAATAACTTACCTTTTCCTTATTTTTTTTCCAGCTCTCTATGAGAAAGCAGAAATAAAGGCACCTGAGGACAAGAAGAGGCACCTCCTTATTGGTGTGTCCTCTGATCGAGGTCTGTGTGGTGCTATCCATACGTCTGTTGCTAAAACCTTGAAGAATGAGATTACCAACCTCTCAAATGCAGGGAAAGAAGTTATGGTGGTTGGAGTAGGTGACAAGATCAGAGGCCTGCTTCAGAGGTAAAAAAGATAGGTACCAAAACTCAAACCCCAAAAGGGTTTGGTTTGCTGGTTTTGTTTGTTTACTGTGGTAGAAACTTCAAGACTGCTTAGAAAGCTGTGTGGCATTCACAGGAAAACGCATCTAATGGAACTCTGCTGAATTCACATTCCTTTAAAAAAATCTGCAAATATGCTAAAAGAGGTTTTGATCATCTGGACACTTGACACTGCTGCACAGAGCTGTTACCATTTTTTAAATAAAGGTGTAAAGCTAGCAACACTGGCGCTGTTACAAGTGTGTGTTTATCGTGAAGCTACCACAATTTAATTGAAAAAAAAAAGGAACATTTCTCTCACACCCTAATGTGGAGAATCATCAACAGGCTGCAAACCAAGGTGCTGCAGAAGCTGGGATTGCCATTAGAACGTTATTAAGAGAATAAATAGCAGCTGGGATTTATACAAAGGCAATCTTTAAAAGACTAAACTAAGTTGTTGTTAAGTATAACAGGACCTTGGACCAGCTTAAAAGTAGGAGTTCAAAAGTACACAAAGCATTGTGTGCCTGGGTTATCTTGACCAGAACAGTGGTTGAACGATATGCGTGGTGTGTGGCACAATATCTCGGTCTTGGAACATTTGGCCATAAAGTATGGGAAATGATGGATGGGAAGGTGCTGTAGTATGTGAACATCCTGATTGGCTGCATGGTCAGGTCCTTATCTGTAGCTATAAAGGTAGAGATGGAAAATAAAAACTTCACTTGGCATTCATCTGCTGAGTCAGTTCCTTGTTTTCAGCTCACCGCACCCTAATTCAGTACTTAGTTCTGAACAGTAATAATTTACACTCGTAAGTCAGTTTTGCTGCCATGTAGTTCTCTGTTAGTGTCTCCTGGGCTCTAATGCAGATTTGATCTCGCTGCAGGACACATGGCAATTACTTCCTGCTAAAAAAAAATGACATTCAAAGAAGTGGGACGGAGACCTCCAAGCTTTGGAGATGCTTCAATCATTGCCTCAGAGCTGTTGAACTCTGGGTATGAATTTGATGAAGGCTCTGTCATCTACAATCGGTTCAGGTAAGATTAAACTGAAACTGCACTGGAAAAATATTGGGTAGAAGGCTTCAAGGAGCATGTTGACCTGATGAAGTAATATGAAAACTGACTAAATTGCCATGTTTACTGTATTTCTTGTGGAGTGAGTGCATTTGGTTGTATGTGAAGAGCTGTTTGTTGGTGTTTTTTTATTAACAGCTGTGGTTGGATTTCTCTTTTTACTTGTGCAATGGGTGCTGTTGTATTTAGTCACTGTGTGATTATATCCACGTGGTATGTGAGATCTCTTCCTCAGGACTATTGGAAAACTTTGTGGAATTGGAAGGCCAGACGTTATCTATTCTAGTTTGATTTTAAACATTCAATTCGGGTTTTTCAGTTCAACTAACTGCATGGTTACTATTTTTACACAGGTCTATCATCTCCTACAAGACTGATGAAAAACCGATCTTCTCCTTTGAAACAGTTGCTGGTTCTGGTAAGTAGTGAACTGGACACCACCTTTTAGGTGAAGTGATAAATCACAGAAAAAGTGTTCTGAATACGGGAATATAGTATTAAAACATCTTATTATGGTGCATGTATCATAAATTTAACGGATTATTTTATCTTGGCTAACCTATCAAAGAGCAGGAAGTTTAAAAAGAGCG